GTCACAGACATTCTATTTCTCAAAATGAAAACGTAAATGTAAGACATAGCAGGAACCAAACAACAGAGCTGTTGATAAGGGTCTTGTTGAAGTGATGCAAGTCACTCTGCGCCCAGGACACCAGGTTCAATGTTTCGAAGCAAGCTCTGTGAGTCTGTAGCAGTTGTAACACGTCAGGCTGTGCTGCCCTCGACCACGAATCATCTCAAAACCGGATCAGGGGAGGGAGAAGGGAGCCTGTAACACAGTAGGGTTGACATCATCTACCCAGTGAGTCCATCGGGGGCTGGTAGGGAGAAGGTGGAGGTGGGGGCTGTGGTAGACCACCCGCCCCTCTAATAAATGTTTTGTAAACTGCGACTACTTAGGGTTTTGCTGAAAGGGGATATGGTTGGTCGAAAAGTGCATATATCGCAGCCTAGCTGTAAACATTAGGACAACTGGCCAACCGTCATGTTAACTGAGGGCGAACTCAGAAGAAAGATGGGCCGCAAAAGATGCTATAAATATCAAAATGACTCTAAGGGGAAGAAAAAGGGGGGGGGGGGTGGTTCCCACTCTTACGTTTTTTTTTTAACAAAATGCAAACAATGTGGAAAGTTATCGAAGGCCTACCAGTGACATCATCATGGCGATTATTAGGTAATAACTCATGCGGTATATATCTGCCATGGTCGTGCGTTTTCTCTCTATCCTTCTTTCTCTCTATCCCTCATTTTCTCTTAGCAGCATATCTGAAGGGAAGTTGCAGTCAAAGCTGTATGGAAGAAAAAATTTATGAAAGTAATCTCCGCGGCAAGTAATGGCGGACATAACTGTAACATCAACACAGAACGATGAATCATTTGTTGGACTTCTGATTCTGCAGCACCAGCTGGCCAGTCCCTGCACTCACGGCCCAGTGTGATCGGAACCCTACAGTAGTCTGACTTTTACTGGACATTCTGATCCACTCCTCTCCTCTTCCAATGTTATTAAGCCTACAGACATAGTCTAATTGTGGTTTCAGCTTGCGCCCTCCAAGACCATCCTCTTTTCAGTCTGTGACCCTTAGCTCTATCCAGAGCTTCATGCTGGAGGTGCCTCTTGTCCGCAGCTACTCTGATATATGATTTTGCCTGCAGAAATTTGATCCTATCTGCAATAGTAGGCAGTGCAAGTATATATCGCATACATACTACCGGGGTCTCTCTTGTATATCCCAGAATTACCCGCATGTCTTCATTTTGTATGCTTTCAAGTTTCACCAGCTGACTCTTTGACATGGTAAGCATTCCAAGTCCATAATCTATCACGGACAGGATCATATGCTGGAACATTGTGAACCCCATTCTTTGTTTTATGACCATTGCTGCGTTAACTTTGTGCATTGAATCCTTTTTTGGTATTTCACCGCAACTGCTTCCACGTGATTCCTAAAGGACAGGCTGCTGCTGTTCCTGCTGCGTGGATCCACTTCTGGACTTTAGTCTTAGTGCAGGACTTGAGTTTGCGTGTAAATTCGTTGAAAAGATCTGGCTTATTTGTATGCAGACTATTACTACTTCATCTCTCAGGCAGATGCACACTGACTTCGAAGAAAACACCCCTAACTGGTAGCCTTTCACGACACATTTGTTAGAACAGTGGCTATCTACCGTCCTAATGCCGCGATCCTTTGATACAGTTCCCTCATTTAGTGGCGACCCCAAAACACATTTTTTCCTTTATAACGTCAACTAGTGTGTGTTTTCCTATGGTCTTATGCAACCCCTGTGACCGGCAGGTTGAAAACCGCTGTGTTAGAGAGACAGAGTCTCTCCCCCCCCCCCCCCCAACCCCCAACCCACAAATTACACCTAGTTGCGCACACAGGGAATTGTGAGAATTAACTTGTACATTTCATACTTTCTTGGGGGGGAGAAGGAGGGGGGGGGGGGAATGACCCGCCTGTGAAAAGGAGCAAACAAAACGAAAAAATCGTGTAAAACATGAACACAGTCAAGTAGATGAAGACAGAAGAAAATGGACTGAAACAGCCAGTGACGCCTGAAACCTCACTGTATCCCAGCTTACCCAGCTGCCCAGCGCGCCCTAGCTCGGCTACCTATCATCTGGTAAACCGCTACACCCTAGCGTACACAACAAAGCAGATAATGACACCAGAAGAAGACGTTTGAGATTTGAGATTCCCTGACCTTGTTTACTGCCATCAGATTCGGGCCGGACCTGCCTAAGAACATTTTGTGTTGTCTGTTTGGCACATGATAGTTTTCTTCATCGCGGAACGTTTCTAACTTCTAGAAGTCGGTGAGGAAATCTATTACTAAGCTCAGATGTTTTTCACAGTCTTGATCTAAGTTCGCGTGTAAGGATATGATTAGCATATTATGTCTTCCGGTTTGAGTGTGTGCACTCAAAGTGATTACGTTTTGACCATAAAATTGTTGGTGAAGAACGCAGATTTTTAATTACGCAAATTTAAGTCGACACATGAAGCTGTGTGGGCAAGAGAAGAGACGCCGGAGAAGTCTAGCCACAGTTTGATTTAAGAGAGCAGTTTGAAGTGGGTACCTGGTGCAGTCCTGGGAAGTAAAAGAGGCCGGCGTGATGCTGACAACACCACCCATCTTGTGCTGATTGGTCTTTAAAATATAGGTCTAGCCCTATATGCCTATACGCCTAAAGGCGTTGAAAAAAAGTCTTTTACTAACATGTTGTACACACACATACACTAATGTTATAATACCACTCACACACACACACACACACACACACACATATACACATATATATATATATATATAGTGTGTGTGTGTGTGTGTGAGTATATATATATATATATATATATATATATATGTGTGTATGTATATGTAATATATGTGTATATAGTATATATATATATATAGACAAACAGAAATTAGTGAAAGTGCTTCATACGTATATCCATGCAACACACACACATACACACATGTAAACACATCGTACTGAGATATAGTAACACCAACGATCATCTGCAAAATTAACACATGTATATATTTACAATATATAATATTTCAAATACAATTTCAAAGTGTGCCATTTTTGGTGGGGTATCTGGGAAAATTGAGCACAAAATTAGGAAATATTTATAACCAATATGTTATACAGGGCATCTTGTTCAATAGTCATATATTTTGTCTACACCATCCTTAAAATAAATCCCACATTAACTAGATGTGACATTTAATAACGCAAATACTGAAACTGTCACAAATGTGGATGTCTTATTCGTCTTCAGCCGTTCTATCATCTTCCACGGGGAATCAAAAATACCACTATTCCCTTATACATACAAACAATAACTATTTAAACAAAATTAACTCATTACAGACTATATGTCCCTTTGAAAATTTTTGTCAAGCATATGATGTATTTCCCTTAGATGCGTTTAACTGAAAGTTATTGTTTCAAAATAAAGGTACCAGTTGGGCGCATTCCATCGTTTGTAACTAATTTGTAACTGTGGTCGATGATGTTTATATTATGCAACCTATTAGGTTTACAATTTTATTGGATTAGGTTTTCACTATACATATTTTGAAGTTCAGTAATCTAAGTATAATTAGAACACACTTCCAGCCTTTGTAAGCCAGCCCTAGATGTTGTAAATGTGGTTTTTTTTTTTTTTTTAAACTGTGAAATGATGTACGAATGAATAACTGTATGTAAGCAGTGGACTGGAAGGGCAAATGCTGGACGGGCCTGAGTGTCCAATTCTTAACCCTTTGAAAAATCAAGTTTGTTCATGTGTTTGTTCATTAATTTGTTCTTCTTTTTCTTCTTCTTCTTCTTCTTCTTCTTCTTCTTCTTCTTCTTCTTCTTCTTCTTCTTCTTCTTCTTCTTCTTCTTCTTCTTCTTCTTCTTCTTCTTCTTCTTCTTCTTCCTCCTCCTCCCTCCTCCTCCTCCTTCTTCTTGACAAGTGATGCCTTTTTTTAATGTACGTCTTTATTTTATATAATCGTAATTTATATCATCATTTTTCAAGCATGAATATCAACAATAAGAACAACGTTTTGGTTGATAAAATGCACCTTTCATGTGTTTCAGTGGAGCAACACAATCTGTCCGCATGGCTGAACATTTCAGCTGGCTTAGTGTGGGGCGCCGTCCATGGCTTGGACGTTGCGAGTCCGACTGGTAATTCCAACATACCGCGATCAAAAGCCACTGCTGGTTGCGTGGATTTTTATCATGATATGGGGCGTCGCAGGTCGACCCAGCCTAAAATGGGAACCAGGACATGCGTACGCACACACATACATATGCACGCACGCACGCACACATACACACAATCAAACACTCATTCACACACGCACACACAACACCCATCACACACTCATTCACACACATTCTGTTTCACATGCACACACTCTACCCACATGCACATATCACTCTATCCCACAACTCTATTTCATTGCCACTCCATTTCACATGCATTCTGTCCCACATCCACTCTATCCCACATCCACTCTATCCCACATCCACTCTATCCCACATCCACTCTATCCCACATCCACTCGTTTTCACATCCACTCTATCCCACATCCACTCTATGACTCGTTTTCACATGCTCTTCCCACATACTCTATATCCAGAAAAGCTATCCCACTCCACTCTATCCCACATCCACTCATCCACATCCCACTACACCTACTATCCCCATTCCCTGCTATTTCACACCCACTGTGATCGGCATACTTTCTACCTAGAGAAAGCCTGACTCACTCTCACCATACATACATTAACACTTCTACATGACCTGGGGTTTTTTTCTCCCCCTCATAATAAAATCAATAAATCACATAACCAGATGAGTGCCATCTCCACAAGAAAGGTTGGCCACAGGGCATTCCCAGTTGTCTTTAGTAATGGTACATTCTGCGGCTTCAGTCTTTTCCACGGTGCGACTCTCATTCTGTCGTCAGACCAGCATTTGAACGGGTTTTAGATAACTAACATAATACATAAGATGTCGATGGTCATGAGGTCATTTTCAAGGCAGTGGACAGCGCCTCGTAGCAGGGGCTCTTCTTGAGGTCCAGGGCTTGGAGGGAGGCGCGGTCAGTGAGGAGGGCGATCAGCTGCAGCCAGTCGCCACCGGACAGAGGCTATGGAAAGATAAAGAGATGGTGTTAGACTTATGTGCTGTAGTTAAAATAGGTATTAGAACTCAACACAAAATGTCTGAAACAGATGTGGACACCCACAAAGGGGTCCGTTACAGTAGCTCTGACAGAATAATGATGGTGTAAAAAAAAACAAAAGTGCGCACCTTCGCAAAAAATCCCTATGTATGATAATGTAGACAGGTACTAGAGGGATAGTCTGTGGTTAAGTCGATGCGAACGCTTTGTAATGCCGGGATGCCAGGTTCGATCCCAGCTGCAGGCCATGTGCCTTGCGTTGTTTTCTACAGTAGTATCAAGAAAGCTGACCGTCCAGTAGCAATGGGAAACTACTGGACGTAAATTTGCCTAGAAAAACCACAATGTCCTGTAAAGGATACGCAACTAACTAAAGGGATAGATGAATTGAGGTCTGGGTGTATGAAAGGAAGGACATTAGATTATTGGATCAGTGGATAGATAAGTGGATGGATAAATGGAGAAGTAAATGAATGGAAGGACAACTGACTGTTAGATCAATGGATAGAAGTGTGGATGGAAAAAATGATTGTTGTATCAGGGGATAGATGTTTGAAGAGTAGATGACCGGGTGCATAAAAGGAAAGAAACTTGATTATTTGATCAATTTATAGATGTGTGGATGGAAAGAACCAGAAGATGGGAGGGGGTGGAAGACAAAGACCAACAGGCAGACAGACAGCTAGACAGATTACGTTTAATGAGCCCCCCCCCCCCCCACACACACACACAAAAATCAGAGGCTAAGCACTACAGTAAAGAAGGGAGTCACCGTGGTGTAGTGGCTAGACGCTGGCTTGCAGATCGGAAGGTCGTGGGTTCGTGTCCTGACAATACCGGTCTTTTTTTCTTCTTTAAAAATGACCTTGGCTTTCAGGTCGACCCAACTTTGATAGAATACCAGGCATAGCCCTGAGAAGTAAAGGCGGCCGGTATGATGCTGACCACATCACCCACCAAATACAGGTTGATCTATAAAACATTGGTCTAGCCCTATATGCCCAATACGCCTGAAGGCATTTCTTCTTCTGCGTTCGACATCAGTCATGCTAAACATTGAGTCCCGTTTGGGTCACAAATAGGAATGTGCGTTTAAGATCGCCACTGGTTCCCCCATGGCTTCTCTTTCAATGTGGCTCCCTTGGGCCAGATCCACAGTCTTTGCTGGAAGAGGTTAGGGCAGTACTGTAGTATGTGCCCAGGGGTAAAGGGCCTGAAGGCGTGCAAAGGGTCATTTACTAACTTTACTACCGTAAAGAAAGAGAAGAAGAAAGAACAAACAAATTTTGGCTAGCCAACCTACCTCAACCTGAGCCCCAAGTTTGGTCAGTCGACGGACAGCCCTTATTGTGTCCTCAGTCTCGCACTGGCCGATGATCTCGTGGACTCTTCCCTTCCGGTGTCCATTCTGGTTGGACAGACCATCGAGAGCTCTAGATACGATTGGTCCAAGACTGGCCACCTTGATCTTGATGTTCACTTCCTTGCCCTATTGGAGAAACATATTTTGTAATTTCCGGGGTTTACATTATCTTCTGTATTTTGGCTCTGTTTGTTAAATGGGTGTTCTCCCAATATCTTTCCCCCAGGATGAGGTCACGGGACGGGCCCTTTTTTTTCAAGGGTGGCAAGAGCGGGATTCCCGGCTTTCGGATGCTTTTACTAACCCCAAAACATCTAGAACTGGGCCTAACCCCAACCCACCTACATCCCAGGAGAGAGTGCAACCTAGATCCCACGACTGCATGCAGCCTAGGCCCCACGACTGCATGTAGCCTAGGCCCCACGACTGCATGTAGCCTAGGTCCCTCGACTGTATGCAGCCTAGGTCCCACGACTGTATGCAGCCTAGGTCCCTCGACTGTATGCAGCCTAGGTCCCTCGACTGTATGCAGCCTAGGTCCCACGACTGTATGCAGCCTAGGTCCCACGACTGTATGCAGCTTAGGTCCCACGACTGTATGCAGCCTAGGTCCCTCGACTGTATGCAGCCAAGGTCCCACGACTGTATGCAGCCTAGGTCCCTCGACTGCATGTAGCCTAGGTCCCTCGACTGTATGCAGCCTAGGTCCCTCGACTGTATGCAGCCTAGGTCCCTCGACTGTATGCAGCCTAGGTCCCACGACTGTATGCAGCCTAGGTCCCACGACTGTATGCAGCTTAGGTCCCACGACTATGCAGCCTAGGTCCCTCGACTGTATGCAGCCTAGGTCCCACGACTGTATGCAGCCTAGGTCCCACGACTGTATGCAGCCTAGGTCCCACGACTGTATGCAGCCTAGGTCCCACGACTGTATGCAGCTTAGGTCCCACGACTGTATGCAGCCTAGGTCCCTCGACTGCATGCAGCCTTTTTGCCACGGCCAAAAATATTCGACTGTCTGTTTAGAGGGAAATTTGAGGAAAGAACCCTTAAATATATTATTTTGTGGAGCTATCTGTGTGTCAGAGAAAGCCGTCATGATGTATCGGCTGGACCAATGATTCCCAAACTTTCTAATGCCGCGACCCTTTAATACAGTTCTTCATTTTGTGGGGACTTTCAATCATTCAGTTATTGTCGTTATTACTTCATAACTTCAGTGAATCTATGTTTTGTGATGGTCTAAGGCAACCACTGTGAAAGGGTGGTTCGACCCACATAAAGGTTGAGAACCTCTGGACTACACGATCGCCTACGGAACAGGTCATAGGTTTAAATCCAAACAGAGCAGGACTTTGTTTCTTCAAAAAAGGATCGACCCAGCCTTAAATGAGTAGCTGGTAAAGCCCTGTTGTGAAGTAAAGGCGGCCGGCATGATTGTGTCAGCATTACGCACCAAATCCAGCCCTATATGCCCAATACACCTGACGGCGTGATAAAAGATCCTTTATGTGTCAGGAGTGTACCGGGACCATTTCTGTTGTTGTTGTGGTTGTGGTTGTTGTTGTTGTGGTTGTTGTTGTTGTTGTTGTTGTAATGTCAACTTTAACTTGTACAGAGCTTTGTGTGCATAAATATCTAATTAATTGATTAATATGTATTGCGCGAGGCTTCTTTTTCTTCTTCTTCTTCCTCATCTCGGTACTGCTTCCCCTCTTGCTCTTCCTCTTCCCGTACTTCTACTGCCTCCCCGACTCCAGCTTCTACAACTTCCTCACAGTTACTTGTGACGTCAGAACTGAGGCACAGGTGAGACAAATAGGGAAAATAGGAAATACCCGACATGAAGAAAGAAAAGAAGAAGAAGAAGAAGAAGAAGAAGAAGAAGAAGAAGAAGAAGAAGAAGAAGAAGAAGAAGAAAAAGAAAAAGAAGAAGAAGAAGAAGAAGAAGAAGAAGAAGAAAAAGAAGAAGAAGAAAAAGAAAAGAAGAAGAAGAAGAAGAAGAAGAAGAAGAAGAAGAAGAAGAAAGAAGAAGAAGAAGAAGAAGAAGAAGAAGAAGAAGAAGAAGAAGAAGAAGAAGAAGAAGAAGAAGAAGAAGAAGAAAAAGATGAAGAAGAAGAAGATAACGAAGAAGAAGAAGATTAAGAAGAAGAAGAGAAGAAGAAGAAGAAGAAGAAGAAGAAGAAGAGAAGAAGAAGAAAGAAGAAGAAGAAGAAGAAGAAAGAAGAAGAAGAAGAAGAAGAAGAAGAAGAAGAAGAAGAAGAAGAAGAAGAAGAAGAAGAAGAAGAAGAAGAAGAAGAAGAAGAAGAAGAAGAAGAAGAAGATGAAGCAGAAGCAGATGCAGAAGAAGAAGAAGAAGAAGAAGAAGAATAAGAAGAAGAAGAAGAAGAAGAAGAAGAAGAAGAAGAAGAAAAAGGAAGAAGAAGAGGAAGAATAGGAAGAAGATGAAGAAGAAGAAGATAAAGAAGAAGAGAAGATGAAGAAGAAGAAGAAGAAGAAGAAGAAGAAGAAGAAGAAGAAGAAGAAGAAGAAGAAGAAGAAGAAGAAGAAGAAGAAGAAGAAGAAGAAGAAGAAGAAGAAGAAGAAGAAGAAGAAGAAGAAGAAGAAGAAGAAGAAGAAGAAGAAGCAGTAGAAGCAGACGAAGAAGATGAAGAAGATGAAGATGAAGACGAAGAAGAAGATGAAGAAGAAGATGAAGAAGATGAAGAAGAAGAAGAAGAAGAAGAAGAAGAAGAAGAAGAAGAAGAAGAAGAAGAAGAAGAAGAAGAAGAAGAAGAAGAAGAAGAAGAAGAAGAAGAAGAAGAAGAACTGATGATGATGATGAAACTACCACAGATGCTCACCTCCTCCTGTAGATTCTGGGCCCACAAGCGGATTCCATCAGAGCTGGTACTATCGGGGATTCTACAGAAGTAAATGGTGGCGTCGATTCGCTGAGCATGCTGTGCCGTTAGGTCACTGTTCAACCAATCAACGAACACATCCTCGGCACGTGACCACTCTGACCGCGTGGTTCCGTCATGGATGATCTGCCGGACGTATTTGTCGCCATGGTCACACTCCAGGGTACACACCACCACACTCTCCTCAGTGTCCGCCACGCTTCCATTACATATTCCTTCTCCATTATGATCTTCCAAATTTAGTTCATGCACAGTTCCGTTCTTGTACCCGTTCTCAGTTGGCTGTTTCTTTGATTTAAGATCGGTGCAATTTGCAAAATGGTTGTGCAGCTGTTTGCCGTGATTCTGTTGAGGTTTGCCGAAGTTCGCGTTAACTGCATCGTTAATGTTGTATTTCTTAGATTCACTTCTGGCGGCGTTCCACAGAAGTTCAAAAGCTGGAAGTAATGGTCTGATGGCGGTGTCCATGCTTTACTTGATTCAACAATAGAGCAGGTTATAGCAGGTGTAGCTTTAACCCTTTGATTATTCTCTGTAGAAGGTAAAATAGATGTTAGGTTGTTTTTAAAAAAAGCATTTGTTATTTCACCAGTCAATGCTACGTTTAGTAGTTTGCCTTTAAATCTTAATTGTTGTCTGTCGATACTACTGTCGAAACCAACACCAGGCGGTCTGCTGTCGAATCGCTCGCAGATGGGGTTTGAACCCGGTACATCAGAATTATGGAACATGTTCGCAACTCCCAAGCCACAGACGCTAAAAGATTGTACATTACTAGAATTAAAAAGGTGCTCTAAGGCATACTGTGTGTGTTGTTTGTGTCTCTGATGAGGAGAAATCCACGAAATAACACTACCCGCAAACAGGGAAGGCGCCACAAAAGTAACATTGGCCAGGGGACCTCAGTGGGTTTAAAGATTAGGTGTGCGATTGTAACAGTTAATATTATTATGAAAAACAAATATAAGGATATATTTAAATAATATGAAACGTATGCGAAAATACCGAAACAAGCAACCTCTGTACATAACTGTCAGCGTCTGTGGCTTATGCGTTGCAATGGCGGTTCGTAATGCCGGGGGGCCGGGTTCGATCCCAGCTGCTTTGTTTTAGACAGTGGGACTGAGAGCTGGCCGTTTAGAAGCAATGGCAAACTACTGAGCGTAACATTTGCCTAGAAAAACCCCAACAACCACAAATTGCTGGCGCTGGTTCTGTAACGTCCTGTAAAAGATACTCGACTAACCTTTCACTAAGCTTGGCTAGGTGTGTCACTCAGCCAAGTGGACAGTTTTAAAAGGGCTGCTAGAGGCTCAGTGTCCCCTTCTCTCCCCCTCCCCCGCCTAACTGTTTAGGATGCTCATCATGCCTCAGCTCCCAGGTTCCAGCCTTCCTATGGTGAATGCTGGATTGGGATAACAGTCTTGTGAACCACCTCACCCCGATAGATGTTACCGCTTTTAGGAGCTTTGGTATCTTGAGCACCATTGCTTGGAGTTAGGAGTTGACATTCAGTCTTGCAGTGGAGTCACAAATAAGGATATGAATCAAAACAAAATGTAACTAGACAGCAAACAAGAAACAAATAAAACAATTAACAAGCAAAACACCAGCACCAAGCAAAGAAAAAACAGAATGACAAAACACGATTGCAGCACGACAAATAAAACAAACAAGCTAGCAAAGAAAAGAAACCAACAACAGAATGTGAACACACAAGTCTCAACAGAATGTAAATATTTTGGAGCTGTAAAAATTATTCTTTGTTTATATATTTATAGAGCAAATATTTTTCTGTTAGTTAGGCCCAAAGTTTTGTTTTCTTTCAGTACTTTCTAAGAATAGTCAGTCGTCCATGTTTGTGAGTCGATATCTGGGTCAGTAGCAGGCGTTAAAGATGGTGGCACTAAGGGAAGACACGGCGACATAACCGAAATCCTTGACCGAGCAGTGCACAAGTGAATCAGCCTGCTCTAGATCTGTGCTAGAGCTGCGGGGAAAACATCTTGTCTGCCTCATGCTGCGGTTAGTCAGTTTAAGATTTAGAGTGTTGGTGCAAGAAAGGCAGCGTATAAATCGTGGGGAAAAGAAAGTCGGGAAGAAAGTAGTCAGAGATTATCAGCATTCAAAGGGAAATAATAACTGGAATAGTAAGTAACTTTTACCCCACAAGGACATTACACAAGCGATAAACACCCGATGACACAAAGTGCCACCATGCGTATGAGGATCACCGGTGGAGAGGTCCCGGAAACGGCGTTTAGCCATTACCATTAGACCATATTTATGGCCAGGCTATATTGCGGCCCCTGGCAAGAGCCAGAGTAGGGCTTCACAATAACGAAAAATTGCATCCCTTAAGGAGATGAAAGGTAAGATATAGTTTATAACGGAAAGAACCATAAAGGCACGTGAGACAGGTACAGCAAGTGGGATTTGATAAGATGATATAAAGGAATTTGGGGAGCCGAAACCTGGGGCCCAGGTCACATGAGGGCCCCACCACAATTTTCTGAGGTGGTGGGGTGGGGGTGGATTGTGTTTATTATAAATTATAATTAAAATAATATCTTACATAGAATGCTTTAGGCTTCAGCTTGCTGTTGAAGATGAGGATGAAGCGGTTATGGGGGTGTGCTGTGTGATGTCGATTGGTAAATCAACATTCAACTTTTTATAAATTATAATTATTATGAATTAATAATTTTGATAATTTGGTAAATGGACTAAGAGTTCCAAGACAACCGTGTATGGAAATATTCTTTGAAAGTATTATTATTATATTTGTTGTGCCATATAGCACATTATTAATATAAACGTAATATTCAAAATAATAATATACTGAATGAAACACGGATGTAAATTTATAAAATAAAATATAATATAATAATATAATATTTGTGAATTGTTTCGTACGTGTTCATTCTGTGTAAGATATTTTAAACCTCTTATTTGAAAAAGTTGTGTGACGTTTCCTGTTCCATGGTTGTACGACTTTTTAATATTCCATGTTCCATGTTCCACGGTTGTATGAGGTTTTTTTTTCTATTTTATTTTTATGTGAATGTTTGTTTCTCCCGAGGTTGTTTGATTTTTCTGTCAATAGGCTGTGTAAATTTCTCTGTTCTGCGGTATAATCAAATTTCTGTTTCATGGTTTTGTTCCATGGTTTTGTTCCATGGTTTCCCTCGAAAGTCGATCCATGTGTCCGATCGCCGAGGGACGAAAAGTTTGCACTCAAATATGCCGGATCTTTAAAACAAATGTTTTCCCAAAAGTCAAGTTTTGGAACAAGACTGAAGTCCAAAAGCGGACGAACAACCAGAACCTTCTACACGAGTTTACGGCCGGTGAAGAAGGCGTTCGAAAATTGTGTCATTGTATCCAGGTTATAGTTGTTTATCTTCTTGACAATAAAAGTAAATCATTACGGAGTGGTCGATTTGTATGCTACAGTAACGTGCATGTATCTGAATTTCACACTGACCCCCGACCTTTAACCCAGTTTGTTTATCTAAACTGCATACATTAACCGCATACTCAGGTAACATACCGTGACCTGGTTACACGCAGTGAGTCAGGTTAGGTCTTGTTGACCTGTGAAACAATCAACTTGCTTGTGGCTTTTCTGAGTCGCATCACAAGACAAAAGACATTCATGACACAACCGGGTTTATCATCATCATCATAAAGCACTTCTGTCGTTAAGCGACGTGGGGAGGAATAGTTTGCGATCCAGTACGCACTGACTGCTACTGGCTATTGTCATGCCGTGAAGGCGTAGTGTGTCTTTAATGTTGTCGATCCATTTTTTCGCGGCCGTCCTCTTGCTCTTGTAGATGATCTTCTGAGATGTAGTGCTTGTGATATTATTTGAGCTTGTTGCATTCTAACGAGATGGCCAAAACACTTGATCTGCTGTTTCTCAAAGAATATAATACATACAGTCGTTTCAACCACTTGTCTGATAGTAATATTATTCACTTGATCTGGGATAGTTAGGTTGGCGTCTTTTCTCAGGCACCTCATCTCGCAGGTGGTGATTTTGCGTATATGGGCTTCAGAGATTGTCCATGCTTGGCACTGGTAGCTTCATGTCAGAATGGTATGAATATGTTGTTTATTATCTGTCTCTTTGCACTCATAGTTATGCTTGGATGTCTTAAAAAGTGGTGACATTTGGTATATAGGTTCACTTGCTTTCTAAGTGCGTTTCGTCTTGTGCAATATTTATAAATCATGGATTGAACTCAGTCCAGGACCCCTAACCTCTCGTAAACCTAGTCCAGGACCCCTAACCTCTCCTGAACCCAGTCTAGGACCCCTAGCCTCTCCTGAACCCAGTCTAGGGCCCTAGCCTCTCCTGAACCCAGTCTAGGGCCCTAACCTCTCCTGAACCCAGTCTAGGACCCCTAGCCTCTCCTGAACCCAGTCTAGGGCCCTAGCCTCTCCTGAACCCAGTCTAGGACCCCTAACCTCTCCTGAACCCAGTCTAGGACCCCTAGCCTCTCCTGAACCCAGTCTAGGGCCCTAGCCTCTTAGGATTTTTCGTTCATGACCCCGTTTCCTGAAACCATTTGTCTCGCATTCAGTGCCTGTTTAGTGATTGTCTAGCAATGGCGCGTCCTTTATATTGCCACAGTCTGCATTTATAACCGTTAATACAAATTGTTGTTTATAAAATCTATGTTTTAAAAACAAGAAGTAATAATATTAAGAATAAAGTTCTAAATAAGACGCCTGCGCAATGTCGCCAGCTAAACAATCCGGGAAAAAGAGAAACAGAAGATCAAATGATTTGGTCATCGAGTAAGATTGCAGCCAGACAACTACCAAATCAGGCGTTAAATTGGAAAAAATCTAACAAGAAAGCAAGAGGTTGACACATGAGAAGACGGACTGATGACATTAAAGTGCTTCTACATCGACGCGGAATAGCAGTAATCATTGCCGCTCATCAATACTCCTCACTGCGATTAACGGCAGAAGTAGATATTAGTGATGATGATGATGATTTTTTTGATTTAAAAAAAAAAAAAAATAATAATAATAAAATAAAACAAATGCCATATAGTTAAATTACGACACACAGATAGGGAACAAGTTATTATAAGAACTTATCACTACTCACCCTGAGAAAGATCTCGTTGTTAACAGTCTGGCTGGGCGAGCTTCTATGCTGGTCAGCAACTGCATAAACAAGACAACTGTGTGTCTTTAAATGATGCACATCAAAACCCCGAGAGAATCTTCCTTTTCGTCTCCACTTCTCGTTTAACGCTTGGAATGACAGGATCAGTCGGCGTTTAATTCCGAGCGTTGGGTCGAGGGTTTTAAATACCGGCGAGGGGGTTATTTGGCCAGAAAAGTCGGTCGCCGCCCTAGATTTCAAGGCTTCTCAGCTGTTCGTTCTGAACTACTTTGGTAAACGCAATTGGTACTAAACCAGAACTCGGTTAGGGCTGAGT